TGCTCTGCAGGGCGCTTAGCAGCAGCTGCCGGCCCACGCTGGACAGTCAGTGCAGTGCCTGTGCTCTGCAGGGCGCTTAGCAGCAGCTGCCGGCCGTCACTAACACGCGTGTCAACAGCTGCGTTCTCTTCCAGGTGTGGAAGATATCCTTACAAGGACCCTGCTACATGACACTGTTAATGATCGCGTTTGGCTTATTGTGGGGACACCTTTTACAGATCAGACCCACTCAGAGTGTCTTTATTTCTACTTGCTTGTCCTTGTCGAGCACACCCTTAGTGTCCAGATTCCTCGTGGGCAGTGCCCGGGGTGAGAAAGAAGGTAGGTGATGGCATGTTGTGAGTACGTGCTCAGGGGTTACGTGTGTGAGTAACTTGAACGCATCCGCAGGCCTGGCCCCTCCTCGGGGCCCCCTGAATCAGGGCGCTGTGCTGCCTTCCCTCAGGAGCTGGCATCCCTGTCAGTTCAGCTTTTCCAGATCTCGCCTGGAGGAAGAAAAATGCCTTTATGTGCTCATCAGTTTAGGATAATTGGAGGACCACGTATAAAAGATACGAATCTACAATGAAAAATGTACCATGGGATTGGTGGGTTTAAGAGATTAATTGCTGCACCAGACCTCGACCTACCCACCCCCAGAATTCTGGTTACATAAGGTAATGAAACATGGTTTTTGCCTACAGCGCTGTCGGCTGTGTTCTGCTACCTGCAGGTGACCCAGAGGAAGGTGACTGCACCGTCTCGCTGCGTCAATCCTGGCGCGTGCTGGGGCTGACAGCCTTCTGATGTTGTTTTTCCATGAAATATAGGAGGTGCTTTGGGACTTAGAGGCATTTTCACCTCTTACACTTGGGCTTTGGTTTCACCTACATGTGTGAAACATCAGCATCTCTCAGTCCTTGTTGTGTCAGTGCAATCAGACTTGGTCGGCATTCCGAGCTGTCACTCGGTGGCTCCGTCTTTGTACATGGCTGAGCCTCGACAGCATTGCCATTTTTTTTTTTTTTTTTTTTTTTTTTTTAGCATTGCCATTTTTTTTTTTTTTTTTTTTTTTGTTGAGGAGATCAGCCCTGTGCTAACATCCGCCAATCCTCCTCTTTTTTTGCCGAGGAAGACGACCCTGGGCTAACATCCGTGCCCATCCTCCTCCACTTTATATGGGACGCCGCCACAGCTTGGCCTGCCAAAGCAGTGCGTTGGTGCGTGCCCGGGATCCGAACCAGCGAACCCCGGGCCGCCGCAGCGGAGCGCGCGCACCCAACTGCTTGCGCCACCGGGCCGGCCCCAGCATTGCCATTTTTTACATCGTGTTTATTCATTGTGGTAACTTGCACTGTTTTGCTCTTATTTCGTAAACGTCAGTAAAAAACAGGGTTAAAATGTCAGAGTCGCTTCACACTGATGCTCGCTCTGCACCAACACACGGTGATGAAAGGGGAAATGCGGGAAGAGAAAGCCAGAGTGGTGTGGCTGACCTCTCTAAGAAAACTGACCTTGCAGTGAGCGGGGCTGGCTGTGGGCCTGTGGGCTCCTGGGCGCACGGGCGGCCACACAGAGCACCCTCCCACTTGACGCTGGGGGCTTCCCACTGCCGAGAGGAGGCTGAAAAGACTGTGAAGGGTCTGGCGCCTTCTGCCAACCTGTAGGCCAGTGGGCCGTGGGCGCAGCCTCCCTGCTGGGGACTGGATTAGCTGGCACTGCCCTGATCCGTGTGGTCCCAGTGTCCCCGTGGCCTGGTGCTTGAGACCACCCCTCACAAGGCCAAGTGACAGAAGGAGGTGAGCGGCACCAGTAATGAAGTAGGAAAATGAAAACAACCCCTAATGTAACAACCCAGACACCAGAATTCCAGCTCGTGAGAAGTGGGTGGCTAGCAAAGACAGCTAACAAATTCACCATTGGAATAGGAATTCTCCTTATTTATGGAAAATATAATAAAGACTTTAAAATGAGCATGTTTGAAACACTCACACACAGATGAAGGAATCGTGTTTACATAATTAAATTAGGCAGAGACAGAGCACAGTACAGACAGAAGAGATGAGAAGAACAGTTGACAGACATGGAGAGCAGGTCAGAGGCTCAGTGTGTGTACGGCAGGAGTCCTGGGAGAAGAGAGCGGGGAAAGCAGCTGGTCATGTTTCAGAATTGGAGGAAGACGTGAGCCCTTAGATTGAACTTACATCTCCAAAACTGAGCAGGAAGAAGGAAAATCAAGTCACTCTAGACGTGTCCCAGGATGCCAGCAGAGCCTCAGGACAAAGGGAAAGTCTCGCACCTGTCAGAGCAGACGGGTGAGCCAGAGAGGAAGAGCGCACGTCTTCCTGGCGGCACTAGGCGGTACCCGGCAGCGGAGGCATCTACGTGCTGAGGTAAAGAAGGCACGCATGCCCTGCAAACCATTACTAAAGAGCGGGGACACAATGAGGCCTTCAGACTTCCGAGCACTGAGCGCCCGTCTGGTCCCACGGCAGAGCGCCAGAGCAGGATGGGCGGAGAGAGGAGAAATGTCAGTTAAAGGAGAGCGTGGAATGTGACAGGGGAGCACGGAAAGAGAGTTCCTAAAGTCGGCAAATTGAATTAACTATGGCCTGCTAGAAAAGGAGTTCTTTGCATTTTTTTTTTAAAGGCCGAGCTAAAACTCTGGACTGGAAGAAGATAAGAGGAGTCGTTTGAGGGGGTGCTTGGGGGGTGGGTGGACATACTGAAGGATTTAGACTTTGATAGGAAAATTTATAATTAAACATGCATGTTAAAAATGTAACATACCAACAGCACAGTTAGAAAATGTAATTTGGGGAAAAAAAGCTTTGATTTATATTAGCCACAAGAGATAAAAGGTACTTAGGAATAAATCTCTGAAAAGATGTGTGACCTTTGAGGATAAAATTACGAAATGTTATTGAAGAGAGAGCCCATGTTCATGGATGAAAAGAGTCAATGCAAAAAGATGTCATTTCTCCCCAAATTTATAAACTCACAGCTATCCCAATAAAAAGGCTGGCAGAGATTTTGATGAAACTTGGCAAACAAATCCTAAAGTTTATTTGAGAACAAATGCCAAGAATGGCCAGCATTAATGTGAAGTGAGGTGCTTCCCCCAGACAGCGGACCCGCTGTCTGTGGTGTTACAGTACTCCGGGCGGCGTGGGGCTGCCCGCAGAGATGGGGCCGGGGGCAGACTGGACAGCCCAGGCGCTACAGAGAAGTGGGAGAAAGTGGGCTGCTCAGTGAGTGAGAATTAGTTATCCATGTGGAAATAAAATTAGAGCCTACCTTGAACTGTGCACAGAGTCTGTTCTACGTGGACGAAACACCTAAACGTGGAGAGCAAAACTTTAGAGCCGTGAGAGGAAAATACGGGAGAAACCTTACGACCGTGGGGTAGGGAGAACTTCCTAAAACGTACCACATGGGATCCAAAAGAGAAAATACTGATGAGTCTGAACACATTAAACTTTGTAACTTTCATTAAAAAGGTATTTTTTGTAAGCCACCGACTGGGAGGAGACATTTGCTAGATAGATAAAATGTGCGAGGGAGTAATATTTACTCAAGAACTTCAGTAAATCCAGACAAAAGGAAACCCGACTGGAAAACAGGCAAAACGTCCTCGGGATAATGAGGAGAGGAAACCCGAGTGACGGCAGACACGAGGGCTCGGGCCCTTGCCGGGTCTGGGGGAACGCAGGGAAGACCACCAGGTGCCCTTCGCCCTTCGTGACTGGACAGGGTTTGAACCCCGCAGGGCTGTGTCCTTGCAGATACGGGTGTGCAGCGCAGGGGAGGCGTTGAGGGTGATGCTCCTCACTGGTCAGTGTGAGGAGCGTTGGTGGTGGTGTTGCCCAGAGTCTCCTTTCTGCTTCTCAAGGTTTCCAGCCAGTACATCAGATATCGGGGCCCAAACCCTCAAAGGGGTCCAGTGAAGAGCTCCACTCTTCCATGCCTGTGCTCAGAGCCCGTGGAGCGATAAACGGAGTCAGGAGGCTGGATTGAGGAGAGGTGGTGTGGAGGGTGTGGCATTGGTGGGCTTCGGATAACTCAGCCCACAGTAAGAGTGGCTGCCGGCCCCGTGCAGCAGGGACTTGCAGAGGCCTGCCTGGGGCCTGCCCTGGGAACTCAGGCCTGCAAGAGACTTCCTCCCCATGACCTCGTGTGGGAAGAGGAGCACCCCCCAGGCCTGGATGCCGCCCCCTCTTCTCCATGGGAGAGCGAGCGGGGTCAGGCAGGAGGCCGGCAGTGGAGGCCAGCAGTCGTCAGGGAGACCTCCTCTCCCTGATGTGTGTTGTCAGGGAATTATTCTTCACTCTCTGTTAAATCATGTAATCCTCAAAGACACAAGGCTCTGACAACAACAACCTCATGTGATTATCCATTTGGAATGTTTTAAAATTCTAAGCCAAGGGCCGGCTCCGTGGCTTAGCGGTTAAGTGCGCGCGCTCTGATGCTGGCGGCCCAGGTTCGGATCCCGGGCACGCCCCAAGGCACCACTTCTCCGTCCAACCCGAGGCCGAGTCCCACGTACAGCAACTAGAAGGATGTGAACCTATGACATACAACTATCTACTGGGGCTTTGGGGGGAAAAAAATGAATAAATAAAATCTTTAAAAAAAAAAATAAATAAAAAAAAAATAAAATTCTAAGCCAAGATATTTTATTTACCAAAAATTTAACTTTGTACTGTAGGTAAAACAAGCCTCCTAAAAGGATTACCTGACTTCTAATCAAAGTGAGATTTTTGTTGGTAATGAGAGATTTTGATTTTGTTTGGTTTGGTCATTCTGCTTCTTTTATATAAGATTACTCTATCAGATTGGTCTTTAAATATCTGTTACTGCCAATAGCCTTTTTTAAGACAAAAAAAGCTTATTTTAGGGGAGAATATGACAATTTAGGGTTTAGAAGCACCTTTAAAAGAGCCAAAGCCAGAACTGTTGGTTGAAAATGGAGACACTTGGAGGCCTGTGTAAAGTGTTAAATTCACGAAAAATGCATTGACTTCCTGTCTTCTTTCCGGAGGACTCGTGTGGTCCCTTCAGCCAGTCCTGTTACTGCTTCTCTGATCTGTCCGTCTAAAGGGCCAGTATTTCTCTCCCACATCTGTGTTTGTCTCAAAGGGAAGGGACATTCAGTGTGGTGGTGATGGTGGGCTGGAGGGAAAGTGACCCAGAGCCAGGCTCTGGCCAGCAGACGTGACCAGAAAGGGAGGGGCCAGGTCTCTCTTGAGTAGCTTCGGGGAGAATGAAGCTTGGCGCTGAGGCTGCTTCCTGTGTTTGGGGTCACAGTGAAATTGGGATGACTACCCGGCCTGTGGTATTGTTTGCCATGCCCTCTTTTCACAGTGACATTTCCCCGTAATTATATGAGTAACAAGGAACTAGTGGAAGTAAAATATTCTGGAGATTTTCTTTACAAAAAGTTTTTTAATCTTTAAAATGTTTCAGTGTTTGCTCTCAAAGAGATTTTAAAGTCTGTGTTCTTATTTAAGGTATCAAAATTATTTGAATTATTTTGGAAATATGCGCGAGGACTGTATTTGACTTGGGATACTGAAACACTGTGAACACATGCCTTGAATGACTGTTTCCTCGCACAGGTGACATTGACTACAGCGCGGTGCTGCTCGGGATGCTGGTCATGCAGGACGTGCAGCTGGGCTTGTTCATAGCCGCCATGCCGACGCTCATCCAGGCCGGAGCCAGCACCTACTCCAGGCACGTGTCTATGTCACCTTATTACACAGTCTATTTTCTAGCGTTGAGTCATTTCTTTATAAAAATACCGTTTAATACCTTTTTCCGAAGAGATGTTCAGAGCTCGTATACTCGGGCGTAAGAGCACAGACTGGAGTAACACTGCTCGGATCAAGCTCTAGTTCTGTCGATCTCGGGGGAGGTACTTCACCCCACTCTTCCTCGGTTTTGTCATCTATAAAGTGAGGGTAATGTCGGTACTCACCTAATAGCGTAGTTAGGATTAAGTGAGTTAAGATGTAAAAGTGCTCAGAACAATGCCTGGAGCATAGTGATGGTGTGTGTATGTGTGTGTGCACGCGTGTGCACATGCATGTGTGTGTGTATGTGTGTGTGCATGCGCGTGCACAATCATTGTGGTGATTATCTTTGTCGATGTCATCATCGTTTCCATTTCCCCTGATCCTTCTTTCCATTCTCCCAATAAAATAATACCAAAACCTAAACTGCGCTTGCTAGGTTCGTATGGAGAGAGAAGCCAAATGGGAAAAATAAATTTACCCAGAAAGTTGTAGGTTGCATTGCATATACAATATATATTATAAGAATACCAGCCAGAAAATCAATACACTTGGAAAATATAGGGAGTCCTATAAAATTTAAAGGTAATTGCCTGTGGGTGAGGACTATAAGCTTCAGTTTGTTTTAAGCAAATTTACTACATGCATATAAATATTGTGGTTTAAATATTTCCAGAGGCTACATTTATTTCATCTCTTACAGTAATGATACCATTCGCCAAAAATTAGAAGACTTTTTTGAAATGTTTTTTGGAACCACTTTGAAATGCTAAGATCTGTCTCATTTACTTTATTTCTTCCTTTCTAATCGGTGTGACTTTTGTTTTTTTCTCTCACCTCATTGCACTGGCTAGGATTTCCAGTACTTTGTTGAATAAGGTGGGGTGAGTGGGCATCCTTGCCTTCTTCCTGACCTGAGCAGGAAAGAGTTCGTTCTTCTACCACTAAGTGTGATGTTAGCTGGGTTTTTTGTAGATATTCTTTATCAAGTTGAGGAAGTTCTCTTCTATTCCTAGTTTACTGAGAATTTTTATCATGAATGGATGTTGTCAGTGCTTTTTCTGCAGGTATCGATTTGATCGTATAGTTTTTCTTCTTTAGCTGATTTGCATGGTAGATTACGTTGATTGATTTTTGAATTAATTTTTGACCAGCCTTGCATACCTAGAGTAAATCCCACTTGGTCATGGTATATAATTCTTTTTATACATTGCTGCATCCAATTTGCTAATATTTTGTTGAGGATTTTTGTGTCTATGTTCATGAGGGATATTGGTGTATAGTTTTCTATTTTTGTACTCTCTTTGTCTGGTTTTGGTATTAGGGTAATAGTACGTTCATAAAATGATTTGGGAAGTGTTCCTCCCTCTTCTATTTTCTGGAAAACATTGTATAAAATTGCTGTTAATTCTTCCTTAAATGTTTGGTAGAATTCTCCAGTGAACCCATCTGGGTCTTGAGATTTCTTTTTTGGGAGTTTTCTTAAATTATGAATTCAATTTGCTTAATAGTTATAGGGCTATGCAAATTATCTACATATTGTTGAGTTGTGGTAGTTTGGTTTTTCGAGGAATTGGTCCATTCTATTTCACTGTAAATTTTTGTGTGTGGAGTTGTTTGTAGTATTCCTTTATTATCCTTTTGATGTCTGTAGGATCTGCAGTGATATCCCATTTCATTCCTGATATTGGTGACTTATTGCATCTTCTCTCTGTTTTTCTTTGTCAATCTTTCTAGAGGTTTGGCAATTTTATTAATCTTTTCAAAGAACCAGCTCTTTGTTTCATTGATTTATCTCTTTGTTTTTCTGTTTTCACTTTCATTGGTTTCTACCCTTACTATTTCTTTCCTTCTGTTTGCTTTGGGTTTATTTTCCTCTTTTTTTTCTAGGTTCTTGTGGTGTGAACTTAGATCATTGATTTGAAACCTTTCTTTTTTCTACTGTAACTGTCTTAGCTGCATCTCGTTTATTTTGATATGTTGTATTTTTATTTTCATTCAGTTCAATGAATTTTAAAAATTTCCTTTGATACTTCCTCTTTGACCTGTGGATTGCTTAGAAGTATATTGCTTAATTTCCAAGTGTTTGGAGATTTTCCTGCTGTCTGTTATTGATTTCTAGTTTGATTCCACTGTGATCAAAGAACAAATATTTTGTATGATTTCAGTTCTTTTAAATTTGTTGAGGTTGCCTTACAGCCTCAGATATGATCTGGTAAATGCTCCAAAGTTACTTGAAAACAGAATATGTATTCTGCTGTTGTTGAGTGGAGTATTTTATGTCTATTAGATTCTGTTCATTCATTGTGTTGTTCAGTTTTTCTGTACTCTTGCTGTAGTTCTATCAATTGTTGAGGGAGATGGTATTGTAGTCCCCAGTTATAATTGCCTATGTGTCTATTTCTCCTTTTAGCTCTGTTAGCTTTGCTTTATGTATTTTGGGACTCTTGTTTGGTGCATACACATTTAGGATCATTTTGTCTTCCTGGTGGATTAGTTATCATTACATAATACTCTTTTTGTTTCTAGTAATTTTTCTTTCTCTCAAATTAATTTTATATGATATTTAATATATAGCACTCTTGCTTTTTTTTTTTTTTTGGTGAGGAAGATTGTCCCTGAGCTAACATCTATGCCCATCTTCCTCTATTTTGTATGGGGGACGCTGCCACAGCATGGCTTGATAAGTGGTGTGTAGGTCCACACCCGGGATCCAAACCCGCAAACCCCGGGCAGCCAAAGTGGAGTGCGAGAACTTAACCACTACACCACTCAGCTGGCTCCTTGCTTTTTTTAAGTTAAATCTGCAATGGTATATCTTTTCATATTTTCACTTTCAACCCACTTATGCTGTTGTATTTGAAATGAGTTTCTTGTAGACAACATATTGTTGGATGATGTTTTTTAATCCACTCAGCCAATCTTTTTTTTTTAATCCTTAGAAGGATCCTTTATTTCATTCACTTTCTACTTATAAGGTGGAATTGCAGCCTGTAAAAGTTGTTTCTTCCAGTTCAGCCAATGGCTTGGAACATCACTTTGTCCTAATTCCATGATGTAAGTGGTCCCCGGGGCAGGTCCAAGGGTTGTGGATTCACAGGGACTGGATGTGATGAATAATCTCTGTCTTTTGATTGCTGTATTGAGACCATTTACTTTTAAGGTAAATATTGATATGTTAGGACTAAGTCTCTCATTTTGTTATTTGTGTTTTTTTGTTTCTCTGTTTCTTTTCCTCTTTTTCATTTTTCTTACTTCTCTGTTGGCTACCTGCATATTTTTAAGGATTCCATCTTGATTTATTTATAGTATTTTTGAATCTAATTTCCATTTAGGTCCCTTTCCTCTCCCCACTTTTTAAATATAATTGTTGTATTTTCTCTACTTGTATTGAGCACCACATCAGATGGTTTTATAAACTTTGCTTCAATAATCAAATAAGATTTTTAAAACTCATGGGAAGGACTATCTATTATATTTACTAGTTTTACCCATTCTGATGTTCTTATTTTCTTTCTCAGGTTCAAGATTTCTTCTGTTATAGTTCCCTTCCTACTTGCGGACCCTGTTTGGTCATTCCTTCACGGTTAGTCTGCTGCTGTGACAGAGTCTCTTAGTTGTCCTGCAGCCCTTTGTTCCTGAAGGACGTTGTCACTGGACGTAGATGTGGCCGTTGACAGTCCTTCTCTTCCAACACTTGAAGACGTTGTGCCGCTTCTCTCTGGCCTGTGGTGGCTTCAGCGAGAATTCGGCTGCCATTCAAACTTGTGCTTCTCCATAAACGATGAGCGGTTTCTCTCTGGCTGCTTTCAAAACTTTTTCTTTGTTTTTACTTTTCAGAAATTTAATTATGATGGTCTTGGTGTCTTAGTCAGTTCAGGCGGCCATAACAGACCACCACAGACCGGGTGTTGTTTAGACAGACATTTATTTCTCACGGTTCTGGAGGCTGGAAGTCCAAGATTGGGGTGCCGGCCATTTGGTTCCTGGTGGGAGTCGTCTTCCAGACAGCTGTCTTCTCATTGCGTCCTCAGATGGAGGGAGGGAGAGCACACAGGCCCTCTGGTCTCTTCTTAGAAGGGCACCAGTCCCATTGTGGGGGCTCCACCCTCATGACCTCATCTAAACCTCGTCACCCCAAAAGCCTCACCTCCTGATACCAGCATATTGGGGCCTCCATATATGAATTTGGGGGGACACAAACGTACAATCCATAACACTCTTTGGGTTTATCGTATTTAGTGTTCCCTCAGCTTCCTAAATCTGTAGGTTTATGTCCTTGCCCAATTTAGGAATTTCACCATTATTTCCTCAAATACGTTTTCAGACCCTCTTGCTCTCTCCTTCTGGGACTCCAGTGATACAACTGTTTGCTCTTTTGGGACTGTCCCACCGGTCTCTGAGACTCTCCTTTTCTTCAGTCTGTTTTCTTTCTCTTGTTCAGACTGGGTGAATTCTATCGATCTGTCCTCAAGTTCGTTGATTCTGTCCTCTGTCCTCTCCACTCTGCTATTTAGCCTATCCAGTGAGATTTTTATTTTGGTTATTATGTTGTTTAGTCGTATAATTTCCATTTGGTTCTTCTTTTCATAACTTCTATTTCTTTCCTGAGATATTCTATTTTTTCATTTGTTTCAAGAGAATTTTTAATTGCTGTTGAATCATTTTTATGATGGCTGCCTTAAAATCTTCATCAGGGGATTCTAACAATGATTCGTCCTGATGTTGGAGGCTGTTGATTCTCTTTCCTCACTCGAGTTGCGGTTTTCCCCAATTCTTGGTGTGATGAGTGATTTTCAGTTGTATCCTGGACATTTTGTATATTATGAGTCTCTAGATCCTATTAATCGTTTTTTAAAAACAAGCAGTCCCCTGTGGTGCTGTGGTGTAAGGGCTGGGTGGGTGCGTGCGTCCATCTTCCTGGCAGGCCCGCCCAAGTGGAGTGACAGACCTGCTTCCTTGCAGACGGGAGGGTGGAAGTGTTTTGTATTTTTTAGCATTTACCTCTTGCCAGATGTTATATGAAGTTTCAGCAATCCAGAATGATGAAGATCTCTTCTCTGCTCTCAGAGAGCTCTGCTGGCAGGGAAAGTAGAAGGAACAAATAGCTTTTGGGCTGAGATTTCCAGAGGTTAAGTAAGGCTCAGGCCCTGGGGCACGGCCTCCGGGGGCTCTGCCGTTCACCAGCCTTCAAGCGTTGGCGACTCGCTGAACCTCTCTGGGCTTCAGTTTGCTCACCTGTAAAATGGGACCGTGTGGACATAGTGCCTGCCTGGTGGGCTGTGTGAGGCGTGCAGGAGATCCCGTAAAGCATGCGGCCCGGGCCCTGCACTACGTAACTGTTACACTTAGCTTATCGACAGGTCCTTTGGGTTGTCGTTTTCCTTTGATCAAAATTTTTTTAACTATCAGAAAAGCAACACTTTTAGTCACACACAACTCAAAATCAGAGTCAGTTCTTGCTCCTTCTGGCTACTGATTTTCAAGATAAGTAACTGAACAGAAATGTAGGCAGCAAGAGGAAGACTTGTAACTTCAGCTGAAAATCATTTGAGTTCTATTAAGTACAATAAATTATTACTTGTGAAAGTCAGACTCTCTCTAGCAAACAGGAAGCAGGCCCTGGAAAAGCACGTGTGACCTTCATGTCACCAGACTTTCCTGTCAGTTATAGACGTTGTCTCAGTCAGAAAGCTTTAAAAAACTTCTTTATTGTCCCAATTAAAAAAAAAAATTAATCCAGTACAGGTATCGATCCAATTGATATGGTCCAATTTAGTCATGAAGTGTCATGTTTACCAAGAGTTTCAATGATAAAGAAAAAATGCTCTATATTATGTTAAACTGTAAAAAACAGAGTCAAATTCATGTGCAATATTTCTCAAAAGGTTAAACATAGAGTTACCATATGACTCAGCTATTCCACCCCAAGGCATTTACCCAAGAGAAATGAAACATCTGTCCACGTCAGGACCTGTGGGTGGGTGTGATGCTGGCACAACACTGATGTCCTTAATGCCACGATTATACGGGCACACCTTGGAGATGGTGTGGCTCGTTCCAGACCATCGCCATGAAGCAGATATCACAATAAAGTCCATCACACGAAGTTTTTGGTTTCCCAGTGCGTATAAAAGTTATGTTTACACTATACTGTAGTCTGTTAAGTGTGCAATAGCGTTATGTGTAAAAAACCAATGTACGTACCTCAATTAAAAAATACTTTATTGCTAAAAAATGCTAACCATCTTCTGTGCCTTCAGCAAGTCATATTTTTTTTGCTGGTGGAGGGTCTTGTAAAAACAAAAAACACAATACCTGCGAAGCTCAATAAAGTGCCGTGCAGTAAGATGAGGTGTGCCTGTACACTTTGAAGTGGTTAAAGTGGTAAATTTTATGTTATGAATATTTTGCCACAATAAAAAAAAAGCTTATGCATGAGTGTTCATGGCAGCATTGGTCATAGCTAAAAAAATGGAAACAACTCAAATGTCCATTAGCTAATGAATGGATAAATCAGATGTGCTGTGACCACCACATGGTGGACTATTATTCCGCCAGAAAAATGGACGAAGTCCTGGCGCAAGCTACAACATGGATGAACTTTGAAGACGTTGTGCTAAATGAAATAAGTCAGACAGAGAAGGCCACATATTGTATGATTCCATTTATGTGAAATGTCCAGAATAGGCAAATTCGAAGAGATGGAAAGCAGGTTGTGGTTGCCCGGGGCTGGGGGAGAGAGGAATGGAGAGTGAGTGCTCATGGGTAGGAGTTTCTTTTTGGGGTGCTAAATATATTCTACAGTTGATTGTGGTCATGGTTGCACAACTTTGTGATATACTAGAAACCATCGAATTGTGTACTTTAAATGAGTGAATTGTATGGAATGAAAATTATATCTCAATAAAGCTGTTAAAAATTATATACAATATTATTTCAACTACATAAAGAAGAAAATGAATAGAGAGACTAGAAATATATTATAAGAAGGTGTATATATTGTAATGTATATTACAATCATGTAAATGAAGAACAGGATGTGTGTGTGGGCATACAAGTGAACTCAAGCCAGTAGAAACTTCAGTGTTGTCTTTAAAGAGAATGGAGTTGTACGTGACTTTGGCTTTTTGTCCCTTTTTGAGCTCTTGGACTGTGTTATCCTCATCACGCTGCGTTTAGTAGACAGTTGGGAGGCAGACCTGAACGCAAGCCTGGGCATGGTGATTGTGGAGAGCGTGGGTAGTGACCAGGATCACAGGCCCTGGAGCCAGACGCCTGGCACGGGACCTGGAGCGGTCGCTTCTGGTCTGTAAGATGGGGATGCTGACAGCATGTGTCTCGTGGGGCTACTGTCAGGATCATCATGAGAGGTGCAAGTCTTAAGTGGCTGCGATCTCTTTATCACTAAACAAATCAGGACTGCCCTAGGTCACCTGTAGCGTGCTGCGCACAGGGGAGGGTGGCCTGCTCTCAGGGACTCCCGCAGTGTTGGGGAAAGATCATGAAGGGATGGTGAGTAAGTAGATGGACATCAAGGAAGTGTCTAGCATAGGTGAGTGCTGTGCAGAGAGCTACAGCTGCAGCGGGGTGGCCAGCTGGCAAAGGACGGATGACCACTTCAGATTGGCCAGGCCTCTGAGTAGTTGACTTTGAGGCTGAAATGTGAAGGACACAGCTGAGCCAGTCGGGGGGAACCTGGGGTGGGGACGGAGCATCCGGCCAAGGGGGCCCAGCACACAGGGCCTGCAGCTGCAGGGAGCCTGGCCTGTTGGAGGCAGAGGCTGGCGTGGGCTGCTTTGTGGGTGAGGGAGAGGGAAGGTGCAGCTCCTCTGAAGGTCACGGGGGCTGTAGACATCCAGCGTGTGGTTTGGCCTCTGGAGTGTGAAGGAGGTCGGGTAGGAGGTTGTGGAGTTGTGCAGGAGATGATGGCACCTAGGGAAGGGGTGCCCTGGCACTGGACGCAAGGGCCGGGTTCAGGGAACTTTGGTGGCAGAGCACTTGTGATTCGTCGGTGTGTGGGCTGAGCGATTAGTTCAGAGCCAGCTGCTGGGCTGTGGAGACCATCAGGAATTTGAGGGAGACCCAGCCTTCTTGATTCTGTCGCAGCAAGCACGTTTCCGTTCCTCCCCGGCCTGCAGACCCTGATCCTCACGCTGGCTCTCCCCTCCATAGCCGACGTGGTGTCTTCCACAGCGACTTTGCTTCAAGCCCAGCCCTGTCTCGTTCCCCTGAGTGACCAGGCGCAGCTTGAGGTTTGTGCCTGGGCCGCTGTTTGAAGCCTGACTGCAGTGGTGATCTCTTAGGAATCAGATATGAATTCTTCCATCAAGAACTTTTAAATCAGAATTTTTGACTGAATGGTGTCCTAAATATGGTGGAGAGCTAAGTTTAAAAAGTATGTATATTATTGCCAATACTACAGATGTGCAATAGTGCCTTTCTTGTGGAAGTCTTTAGTCTGAGATCTTGAGAATATTCTGCGATCTCAGTAGCATGTTCTAACAAGAGCTTAGTACAAAGTCCTTTTCTCCATTACTAAATAATAGACATAAAATTCAGAGTTCTGGCTTGGGATAAGGGAATATTTTGCTGAAGGTTGCTGGAATTCTTTAGTCGTGCTTCCAGTGGTAAGCCTGCTGTGTAATATCGCAGAGTGACTATCGTCTTACGAAGAATTTCAGATGGGAGTTAATTCCTGATGAAGAACTTTATTATCTGTCATTGACTGAGATATATAAGCTGTCAGTCAAGAGTCATTACCTCCTATAAAATGTATTTGCTCCAAAGGTTGGATTGCAAAACAATCAGCTTCTGTATTTGATTCAGATAACTTAATTTCTGAGATTAATATGATTGATAGGGTTTTATTTTAATATTTAGAAATAAACATCTGTGTGATTTGGGTAACTTATTTTGTAACATGTTAAAAAAGAGTGAAAGGAGCCAGCCCTGATGGTCTGGTGGTTAAAGTTCAGTGTGCTCTGCTTTGGCGGCCTGGATTCAGTTCCCGGGCGCAGAACCACACCACCCGTCTGTCACTTACCATGGTGTGGTGAGGCTCGCATAGAAGAACTAGAAGAACATACAAGTAGAATATATAACTGTGTACTGGGGCTTTGGGGAGGAAAAAAAAAGAGAGAGGAAGATTGGCAACAGATGTTAGCTCAGGGCGAATCTTTCCCAGCAAAAAAAAAAGAGTGAAAGATCATTTTGTTGGGTTTTAGAGAAATATGTTTCGGAGGTGAAATAACACGTCTCTCTTTTTCTTTCCTAGCATTGTCATGGAAATACTGCACATACTGGTTCTGATGGGTCAGATTCTGTTTTCGCTAGCTGCTGTTTTTCTCTTATGTGTCGTCATAAAGACGTATCTCGTGGGGCCGTATTATCGGAAGCTTCATGTGGAAAGCAAAGGGAGCAAAGAAGTCCTTGTCTTAGGAATCTCGGCTTTCATCTTCTTCATGTTAACGGTAATTCCCAAAATACCAGTGTTGTTTGTATAATCTGGTTTGTAATCCGTTCACTGAAAGTTCGTGATCAGTTCTTTGTCTTTTCATTTTAATGATTGTTAAAGTATTTGGAAACGTATTAGTAGTTTTTGTTTCGTGCACAGGTGTTGTGCTCCCCGTCAGTGTTAATGTAGTGAGTTAAAGCTGCTGAGCTCTGTTCATACATACCCTTAAGCCCTTTGGGAAAATGCCGTTTGTGAGGCTGCATTAAAACAGATCGACTGTGGGAATGAAACGCCACAGGGACACCAGTGTGTGTATGTGTGTCCGTGGAGGGGTGTGTACGTGTATTTGTTCTGCCGGGTCCAGGAGGCTGTCTTTGGGTGACAGGAGGCAGTGGTGACTGGTGGCTCTGCGTGTGTGTGACATGTGTCCTTCCTTCTTCCCAGGTCACAGAGCTATTGGATGTCTCCATGGAGCTGGGCTGCTTCCTGGCTGGAGCGCTCATCTCTTCCCAGGGCCACACAGTCACCGAGGAGATTGTGGCTTATGTGGAGCCCATCCGAGACTTCCTGGCTATCATTTTCTTCACGTCCATAGGTAACTTAACCTCTCTTCTTCACGTGCTGTGTGCAGTTGTGCGTGCCAAACGCTTGCAGATTGCTTCCGTAATCTGTTTATGTGTGTGTCTGTATTTCTAGTCTATACGGTGACAACAGTTCCATAAACATTAGCGTCTGAGGAGAAATCTTATTAAGCCGGGGAAAATCTGAGCTAGGGGGCACGCACACGTGCCAGGCTGCCCTCCTGCGCTGGCATCCGGCAGCGTGGTGCCGACTTCCTCCTCCGTCGGGTCGTCTCGCGTGTTCGTGGTCTTTCCAGTGTCCACATAACTTTTGGGTTCAGCTCATCGGTTTTCACAGAGAGAGTTCTGTCGTGACCCCGGACTCTGGACCAGTGCTGCTCCGTCAGCGCTCAGGTGCACGTAGGTGGGCACCTGCCCTCGGGAGTACAGTGCTCCCTCGGGGCTCCGCAGGGAAAGTCGTGGGTGCTCCCAAGGTTAGCACTTTGTTATGAGAGGTTCGGGGATTCGATTGGAGACGTAAAAGAAACTTTCCACTCCAAACAAATGGACTGAAGGTATATTTTATTATATAGAGGAGAGTAAAGGCGACAGTCTGCAAACGGATCCAAATAGGTCAAATAATGAGAGGGAAGAACATCAGCTCGACTGGAAAGGGAAAACATCCACATCGGCTGAAGGGAAATGACACGAATCAACCAGAAAGAGAAACACTAGGTTGACCGAAAAGAGAACACATCAGATCAGTTACTCACAACATCCACGCCCCACTGCCGGGGAGAGTCCCTTCAATTGACAAGGCCGGGTGGGAATCCCATCATCAGAGTTCCTGGGCCGGGTGTCCCCTCCACAGGTGGAACTCGCACCAGGCCTCTGTTTCCAGCAGTTTATATAAGCAGTTACAGAGTTTACAGAGCAAGCATTCAGTGTTCCCATGCACAAATGGTCATCAGTGGCGTACGTACAGGTCATCAGTGAGCCTCCTGGCTATCGTCCCAGCCCGGCAGTTGTGTATGTGCATTGTTTTCCCTGGTTATCGTCCCAGCCCGGCACAGATGGCCAGTCTGCCCCAGGCTACCATGCCCAAAGGACCTTAAAATGTTACAAATTGCAACTCTCTCCGTGGGAGAAAGGCCAGTTCCCACCACACAGAAAGCAGCTTTATAGTTCTTTGTGTGCTGGTGGCTGTAGGTCAATGGAATGGCCACACATGGCTGCACTCATGTCAAGACACATCTTAAAGTCAGTGTGTCCAAATGGAAAATAAGGGAAGAAATATTAATTTTGATACAAAAAAATTAAACTGACCGTGTCAAGACGTGCTGCTCTGGGAATTCCCCTTCGTCAGGGTCTCGAGTGGCCAGTCCTGGAGAGGAGCGGGCGGCAACAGACACACGGCCTGCATGTCGCAGCCCACTTCTCACTGCCCCAAAAGCTCAGGTGGTCTGTGCTCGTGTGTCCCAGTGAGACTTTGAGAACATTCCGTGGAAGTGGAAGGGCCCTGACAGAGTAGCACAGAGTAGGGGGTCGCACTCAACCTGAGGTGGATGGAGACAGTGGTCACAGCTGCTTTAGCGTCTGCATCCTTTGTCCCTCCCAGAGCCCCTCTCGGGGACCCAAGTCTTCCTCCCTGCCCCCTTCTCCCCTCGTCATCCTCTCTCCCTCTCCCTCCTCTCTCTCTGTCTCTCCCTCTCTCCCTGCCTCCCCCTCCCTGTCTGTCACCATCTCTCTCTCTGTCTCTCCCTC